GCGAGTGCCTTTGGTATCGATGTAGAGGAGATTGTTGTGAAGGGAGTAGTCGGGAACTGAGTCAAGATCGTGGAGCTTGTTGTAAATGGTGGCGAAATCTGGGCAGGAGGGATAGCCTTGGGTGTATCGATGATGAAGCGATGGAAGGAGTTGAATATGAGTCATGGTGGCGTAGACTTTCTCGGGGGGCTTGTGGTCGGGTCGTCGCGAGAGGGCATCGGCAATGCGGTTGCTTTTGCCTAGGGTATGGCAAATGGTGAATATGAACTGGGCCAGGAAGTCTAGCCAGCGGGCTTGGCGTGGAGTGATATCTTTCTTGGAGAGGATGGAGGAGACGATGGTGTTGTCAGTGCGGATGGTGAAGTATTGCCCGTCGAGGTACGGGCGCCAGACTGTGAGGGTGTGAATCACGACGAGGACTTCCTTCTCGTTGGAGGGGTAATTCATCTCCGCGGGAAGGAGCTTCTTGCTTGCGAAGGCGATAGGGTATTCGCCAGGTGGAGCCTCGGGGTGAGTGGGCGAGTCCCTGATGGGGAGGGTCTCGGCGATGTCGCGGGGGAAATGTTGGGACAGTACGGCTCCGATGGCGAAGTCGGAGGCGTCARTGGTGACATAGAAATGGCGAGTGGGGTCGGCCATCTTGAGGACAGGGGCCGTGGTGATGGTTTGCTTGAGTAATTCGAAAGCTTGTTGGCGGCGATCGTTCCAATGGAAAGGCTCGTCCTTGCGGGTGAGTTCGTGGAGAGAGTACGAGATCTCGAACAAGTTGCGAATGAACGGGCGGTAATAGTTGGCAAGGCCAAGAAAGGAACGAAGTTGGAGGAGGGTCTTGGGTGGGGGCTACTCGACGAGGGTTGTGACCTTTGCGGGGTCCATACGGATGCCTTCAGTGGAGACAATATGGCCGAGGTATTCGATGCTCGAAGCGGCAAACGTACATTTGCTGAGCTTGGCGTAGAATTTTTGCTCTCGGAGGATCGCGAGGACTTGGCGGAGGTGCTGAAGGTGGGACTCGAAGGTGGGGCTGACGACAAGGATGTCATCAAGGTAGAAAACGACACAGACTTCGAGGAGGTTGCGGAAGATGTGGTTCATGGTGGATTGGAAGGTAGCGGGGGCATTGGTGAGTCCGAATGGCATCACGAGGAACTCGTAGTGCCCGAACCGAGAGCGGAAGGTGGTCTTGTGAGGGTCCTCGCGGATACGGATCTGGTCGAAGCCACTACGAAGGTCGATCTTGGTAAAGTACTTGGCTCCACGGAGACGATCAAGGAGCTCGGAAATCCGAGGTAGGGGGTACTTGTTCTTGATCGTGATCCGGTTCAAGGCGGGGTAGTCTGTGCACATGCGGAGTTCCGAAGTTCCACGTTTCTTGACGAAAAGGCAGTTGGTTCCGAAGGGGGATGAACTTGGCTGAATGAACCCTTTTTCAAGGAGTTCACCGAGTTGCCGTTTCATTTCTTCGGCTTCGGGGACAGAGAGTTGGTATGGAGGGCGGCAAGGTGGAGAATGTCCGGGTTCCAAATCGATGGTATGCGATACGCCACGATCCGGAGGTAGTCCGACGGGTAAGGACTCGAGAAAGACGTCCCTGAACTCGTCGAGGATTGAAGTGATGGCAGGTGGAGGGCGGGGCTTGATCGGGTTTGTCCGTCGGGAGTAAGTCCTTGGGACTTTCGCGATCAAGGACAAGACAATAGTAGGCGGAGTCGAGGTTTAGGCGAGCCATGTGGAGGAATTGGTGCGGGGTGACARAGCCTTGGGAGGTCGGATATGGGAGATAGGGGATGTCAATGGTAGTGTCGGGGGGGTTGGTGAGGCGAAGGAAGTTGGGGTGGGATGCGTATGGCATGTAGCGGTCCAGCCACGGGGTTCCTAAGACAATGTCGCACATCAAGTGCATGACATCAAACGAGACCTGACTGCGGAGGGTTCCGACGGTCATGATGGTCTCGGGAACCGTGCGGTCTACTACCACGGCGGTGTCTTTGTCCCCTACGCGAATCGCGATCGCGGAGTCATAGCCGGTAGAGGTAAGACCGGCTTTGCGGACACACGCGTCGGTGATGGAGTTACCGGTGGCTCCAATGTCGAGGAGGGCCCGAAACTTAGTTGTAGACGCACCAAGGGTGGCAGCGATGAATTTGAGGTGGAAACGAGATGAGTTGGCGGTGGAGATGATGGTGTTGAGGCGGCGTTGTTCGTTGCCTAAGCGGACAAGCCGATTGTGTCGGGCTTGTTCCTCGACAAAATCAGAGAAGGTGATAGTGGATGCATTTGGAGGAAGGGTAGAGGAGCATGAGGCAGTGGGAGGTGTTTGTGATGCCTGGGAATCGTCCGGTGGAGGGGGCATCGCCGGAGAGGGGGAAGGCAAACGAATTGTCGATGTCATATGGGCCATCGGTGCGACGAAGGATGTCACTGATGGGTAGGCTGACAGATGCAATGTTGATGTCGGGTCAGTGTCCTGGGGACTGTGTTCATGATGAGGAGGGGCCCGTGCTTGTCGAGGGCGGTGATGCGAAGGTTGCGGGTCGTGTGGAGGCGGACTGACGGGTGAATCGTGCGGCGTTGGGGCAGTTGGTTTGTTGGTGCCCCAATTGGCGACAACGGAAGCAACCCCCTTTTGCTTGGAGGTAGGTGCGCTCCTCGGGAGTGAGTTTCTTGAGGCGGGAGGGTGGGGTAGATGAGGGTGGTCGGGAACTGCGATCTCTGCGCTCCATTCTCATGAACAAGACGACATCGAGTTCCTCGAAAGTGAGGGGTGAAGAGTCGAGTGAATCGGAAGATGCATCGGGGTCAGATGTGGTGAACTCGTCTGAGGAAGTGATGGAGGTGGTGTCTTCGGGGGTGATGTGGTGGAAAAAGCGGGTGCAGGAGGTGCCGGGG